TTTGGGTATATGCCAGTAATAGGATTGCTGAGTCAAATAGTATTTCTGGTTTTAGATCTTTGAGGAATGGCCACACTGTCCTCCACAATGGTTGAGCCAGTTTATATTCCCACCAGCAGTGTAAAAGTGTCCCTATTGCTCCACAGCCTTGCCAGCATCTATTTTTTCTTTTTAATAATTGCCATTTTGACTAGCAAGAGATGATATGTCATTGTGGTTTTGATTTTCATTTCTCTAATGATCAGTGATATCAAGCTTTTTTTCATATGTTTCCTGGCCACGTAAATGTCTTCTGAGAAGGGTCTGTTCATATCCTCTGTCCACTTCTTTATGGGGCTGGGTTTTTTCTTGTACATTTGTTTAAGTTCTTTGTAGACAAACATCTCATCGTTCTTGTTTAAACACTTAACAGGCATCCTAACCAGTGCAACATGGCAAGACAATGAAATAAAAGACCAATAGAAAGACCAGGCATGGTGGGTCATACCTGTAATCCCTGCAATTTGGGAGGCTGACCACTTGAGTTCAGGAGTTTGAGACCAGCCTGATAGCGAGACCTCATCTCTATTAAATACAAATAATTTTAAAAGAAAAAAGATTAAAAGGAAGAAATAAATGTCTTTCTTTGTCACCAGCTTCATTGTGTATGTAAAAAACACTAGGGAATTTGGAAAAAAATCTCTGAAATTAATCACTGAATTCACCAAATAGTTCGTAAAATATATGTAATAAGTCACTTAGATGAACATGAAAAGATAGCAAACAATGCTAGTCATCAAAGACGTGCAAATTAAAACCACAGTGAGAAGCCACCTCACAACACCTAGAATAGGTAAAATTAAAAAGACACATGATAAGTCTAAATATTGGCAAGAATATGGAAAAAATAGGAAGGTCTGATACTGCTGGTGCAAATGCAAAAAATGTTGCAGCCAATTCGTAAAGCAGTTTGGCAATTTCTAACACAGCTACCCATCCTTTACCACATGACCCAGCAATCCACATATATGTATTTATCCAAAAGAAAGAAAAATGTAAGGCCACACTTGTGAGCAGTTATTTATAGTGGCTTCATTAATAACACACCCTAACTGGAGTAATTCCCATGTCTTTCAACTGGAGAATAGAGAAACCAATGAGTAAACTGGGATTCCAGCAATACTGGGCAGCCGCTCAGCAACAAAAATGAATGAATGGTATCATCTCAAACACTGTTATGCTAAGGGAGACCAAACAAAGGACGACACATGATTGCATGTCTATGAAATTCTAGAAATTTCACTCTTGCAGTCACAGAAAGCAGGGCAGTTGTTGAGTGAAGGGGAGGAGTGAGGGTGGGAGGCAATGATTAAATAAAAGGGGACATAAAGAAAGTTTTTAGGGAAAAGGAACTGTTCTCTACAGTGCCACAATTTGAGAGTGACTGGGCAACGGGAACTGAGGGGACAGGAAGGTCTGAGGGATGAGAGGGGCAGAGAGAAGGGCTGGAGAATCAGAAGGTGAGGAAAAGGAGAGAGGAAAGAATTCTAAAGCAGTGGAAGAGCATAGGAAGGGGCTCTTTGCTTTCAGTATTTAATACATTTTGTGGGACTGTCTAAGAACTAATGGCTTCCCTATGATTTTTTAAAAAAAGGGGTTACAAAAATACCAAGTGTCCGAATAAAATATGCACACTGCTTACATGTGTCTAGTTCACAAAAGCAGGCAATGCTTGAGTGCTGGTGAAGAGCATTGGGATGGCATGGAACACTCACAACTTTGAGGGCTGACTACAGGCTCCCGGTTCCATACACAGTAACAAACCTGCTTCTTTGTATTCAGGAGATGTTCTGGACTCACACAGGAAAGCTGTGATTAGGGAATGAAGATAATTCTAAATGCAACAATCCAGAGTCACAGATCCATAGACTGGGAAAGTAAAACTTAGGAACTTTGAGAGTTTAATTGTAATCCTGTTTTGACGCAGGTCTTTGACAGATTGGAATTCTAATCATTCAGGGATTACCAATATTGTGCTACCTAAAGTATTAATAAACAAAAAGGAAACTGGTCTCCATGAGAATCTCTATCTGGTGCCTTCAGACAAAACTTCACCAGGTTTAAAGAGAAAACCCCTGTCTCTACAACTCCATTCCCAGGGCGAGCTCACTCTCTGGCATCAAGTTCCCCGTGGTGAGTTTCCTTGTACAAAAGTCCAAGGGGAGAGGTAAGGAGTGGGAGGCAGGGAGTCTAGTTCAGGGAAGGGGATTCCAGGACTAGAAATGGTGGGGAAGGGACTGGGCACAGCCTAGGGGTCTCTCCCTGGTTTCCACAGACAGATCTTTGGCCGGGACTCGGGCAGACAGTGTGACAAAGAGGCTTGGTGTAGGAGAAGAGGGATCAGGACAAAGTTCCAGGTCCCAGGTGTGGGTCTCAGGGTCTCAGGCACCGAGGGGCGTGTCTGCATGGGGGAAGTGCAGCGTTGGGGATTCCCCACTCCCCGGAGTTTCACTTCTCACAACCTGTGTGGGGTCCTTACTCCTGGATACTCTAGGCTTATCCCCAGTTCCCGCTCACGTTGGGTGCTGGGTTTCTAGAGAAGCCAATCAGCGTCGCCGACGTCCCGGTTCTGAAGCCCCCGGTCACCTACCTGGACTCAGATTCTCCCCAGACGCCGAGGCTGGGGTCATGGCGCCCAGAATCCTCCTTCTGCTGCTCTCAGGGGCCCTGGCCCTGACCAAGACCTCGGCGAGTGAGTGCGGGGTCGGGAGGGAAATGGCCTCTGCGTGGAGGAGCTAGGGGCCCGCCCGGCGGGGGCGCAGGACCTGCGGAGCTGCCCCGACAGGAGGGTCGGGCGGTTTCAGTCCCTCCTTGTCCGCAGGCTCCCACTCCGTGAACATTTTTCTCACCACCGTGTCCCGGCCCGGCCGCGGGGAGCCCCGATTCATAACTGTGGGCTACGTGGACGACACGCAGTTCCTGCGGTTCGACAGCGACTCCGCGATTCCTAGAGCTGAGCCGCGGGCGCCGTGGGCGGAGCAGGAGGGGCCGGAGTATTGGGACTGGCTGACACGGAGACTCACGGTCTGCGCAGAGACTTGGCGAGTGAACTTGCGGGACATACGGGGCTCCTACAACCAGAGCGAGGCCGGTGAGTGACCCCGGCCAGGGGCGCAGGTCACGACCCTTCCCCATCCTCCACGGACGGCCCCGGTACCACCGCGTCTCTGGGCCCAAGAT